CAATGTCAACAAGGTCTTCCTAAACCCTCTCAAACACATGCACACACCTCCTCTGAGGCATTCTTAGTCACCCAACCCCAAGGGCCTGTATTGTGTCCTTAAATCCTGATCCCTAGCAGGAAACAAGCACCCCTAAAACCCCAAGCAACGGCCGTACAAAGCTCTCTTACAATTACAAGCCCCCGCTGTCAGCTAGAGAACCAGGAAGGTCGGAAGTTCAGAGTTTAAATAGTTCAAAGTGATCAAGACCAGTCTGAAGTAGGCCCAGTTATTCATTGACGACGTCGACGAGTTACAAATGTAACTGCCGTTCCACGACTTTTGTATGACCACAAGAGGGGGTGCTTTGTTTGAAACGCAGGTGAGTGAGTATATTTATATATCCAAAGTCACCAGTCGGATGCATGTAAATGCATATAAAAAAAAAAAACGGGAACCCCAAGGTAGAGGTCTTCACAGGTCCAAAGTGTTGGAACCAATCCAAAACACACCCGGAGAAAACTTACCCCGAACTGATGTGCATACACAGCAGTCAAACCTGATGCAAATAAACTGGAGGAGGATTAGACCAGAAAGGCTGCTGACCTAAACAGACCTTTAATAAAGAGAGAACACCAAGTCACCACCAGCAGCAGCGTGAGAATCAATCAACATGCAGGCGTAGATGAAAAAAGCAACAATACAAGAAGACATCTTCGAAACTAATTCCACAAACAATTTGTTTACATACACATCAACGGCTAATATATAGAAACAATTGAAAATCCTGCACCAACAAAACCTCTTTAAATTAATACAATTACTACTAAATTACGAAAATGATCACAGTTGATAATGAGAACGCTCCGACCCCTTCAGAGCCACTTGGTATTATAGACTTATCCATACACAGATCTGAGACTCAAGCCAGCAGTAAAACAAAATCCGACCCGATTAGACTGTGAATAATCTGAACCTGCTCCATGAAAAGTAAAAATGAACACTATTAACTATTATTGTACAAGAGCATGCCCTGTGTTGCAGCACACACTGACAGGTAATAAAGTAAAGTAAATAAAGTAATAAAGTATACACGCATTCTCCAGTAAACCACATATATGGTTTCATTTGGGTTTGATTCTGTCCCCAAAAGAAATAAAATGCTTATTAGACTCGGACAGAGTTGTCTGAGTCCCCTCAGTCATCTCTATAGGATACACTCTCCATTTCCTGAAACACCCTTCATTGAGACTCCTTGTCAGCTCCTCTGGTCTTGAAATGAAACCATTGACTCCAGCTTATCGTCACCTTAAGAAACAACATATTGTTCACATACGTGCACAGTGGTGGGACAAACACAATGGCCGGGAGAGAGGGTCATGCTGAGAGGAGGTAGCAATTTGAAGCTGAGTCCACACATTTTGGAGGCAGTGGGCTAATCCGGCCAGGCTTTTTAGCCCGCTATTCAGGAGGACAAGGACCCCTAGGATTTGGGCTTGTCCACACCTCAGGGGTGGGGGATTATCAAGATAGCAGGAAAGGTGGAGAGGATGTGATGGTGGGCAAAGACTTGAGTATGTGTTCATTAGCAAGACCGTGTGGATTTTTGCAAGCATAAGTGCATGGCTGTAAATCTTTGTGAGAAGCAGATATAAGCAGGTGTGTGTGTGTGTGTGTTTGTGTATTTAGAGGGGTTTCTCTCCGACTCCCATCCCCAAAAATATACCCCAGAGCTCTGACAGGGTCACCTCTAGGCCTTTCAGAGCCTCCTCTCAACCAATCCTAATTGATCTCACGCATTACTAGTCCCAAACATGGGATGGAGAACAGGAGGGAGATGGCTGGCTCATTGTTTGAGGAACGAGGTCCCGTTGCTAGTGGCTCTCCACTCCTGACACACACACACACATATCCACACACGCACACACTCCACCTCTGGCATGCCCACCCACCACCTCCCCCCTTCCTCCTCTCCCCACCTTTATACTCTCATCGCCGGCTGTGCTAATCCACCGGCCAAGTCAGGAACTCAGTTACCCATCTGGCCAAGCACGACTCCAGCTGGGAGGAGAGAGGGATGGAGGGGGTGGAAGAAAGAAAGAGGAGAAAGGGTAAGAGGGGTAGATTGAGAAAGCGGGATGAGGGGGGAAATACTGCAAGCAGTCAGGAAATGTCTGGTGTGAGGGAAGAGAAATGAGGCAGGAGAGCTTTCTATTAGTTTCTACTTTATAGATACAAGAGGAGGAAGAGAATGAAGACAAAACAGGGAATGAGGGACCTGCAAATCAGGAACAGCACAGTGGAGGCAGCTAGACCTTTTCATTTTCTCTAGTATTGATCCTATTGTTTCCTTGAAGAGGAAAGGGATTATCCATTCCAGCGGGTTGGAATGAGAGCAGCCACAGAGCTATGTCATGATTTATAAAGTCGGATCCCAGCATTCAATGAAGGAGCCCCTAGCCATGATCTTCACCTCCGACCCTGACTGCTGTGGGGCAATCTGGCTGGTCAATGCTAGCTCAGGACTTTTGTCATAACCCATCACATGCCTGTGAAGATGGGCCCAGACAGAAAGAGGTTTATAGTAACTACAAAGGGGCCACATCGAATTTAGATTTGTATCATTGTATTGACACGTCGTTGCTGCTGAGGTGTAGCCACAGATAAAATTCCACTAAGTTGGACAATAAAGTTGTATTTTGTACAGGTCACAAATTAACCAACATTGGTAATGCAAGAAATACACATGTAACTAACATAAGTACTTATAAGAGAGAATAAGTGTTTGTAATCCCATAAATAATCCGATTGCGTAGCTGAGATGACTGGTTCCACTCATGTAAACAGCAGTCCTGCCTGTGTGGTTGAAACACCTCCATGACAGATTTATGACAGGACCGAAAACATTTATCTCAGATGTATTCGATCTAAAAAAGACAGAAGGAGTACCTGAAGATTACAGAGTGAAACTGAATTCAACTCAACCAGAAGTAAACTCAGTCAAGCTAAATGACTCACAATAACTAGACAGGATGAAGGCGAAATCAAGGCTCTTGTGTTCCAGGTGATGCTCTTCCACTCCATATCATCATCACGCTCTTTCCTTTCTCCCAAACTACTCGTCACTGTCGACTGAAGCAACAAGAAGACTGTAGCCCAATTCCCCTCTAAAGGACATTTGAAGGGAGATGGGAGGAATGAGTACATGATAAACTGCTAAAGAAGCCACACAAGAGACACACTCCCATTCAAGAGACGGAATCAAACCACCAACCAAACACTAACAGCACACAGCATGATGCAAACCCAAAGTTGTAGAGTGTGTGTGTGTGTGTGTGTGTGTGTGTGTGTCTCTCTGTCTGTCTCAGAATGGGGTAACATCCAGGGAGTAGTGCAGTTAAAGCAAACTCGGTGGACATAATCACATCCACACACAAACATATTACAAACACAATGCCTCCAAGAAGTAAGGTAAATGATGTACTTACAGACATTACCGGTGTTGTCAAAACTGTTGAGCACTTCATTAACTCTGATGGGCCCCAGGTTATCCCTAAGAGACCCAAAAAAATAGAGGATTACAAAGCAGTCTGGGAGAATACTATATTGTACTTGGCATTGTTCCAAAGGAACATCTTTTTTGCATTTGATATTATATTAGATTAAAAACAAACCAAAGATTCTAGATGTGTTTATGTGATGTTATCACCATCTGCTCTTTTACCCTCGATGATAAAAGCAGAATGACGCTGTATAAACCTGCAAAGTGTTCAATACTGACTTTTACCCAACTAGTCTGATGAAAAAGCTCCTTGTGTGGTGCACTGTGACCATGCAGTATCTGAAACTAGAGCCTAATGTGCCTCCATTCAAGTGTGTGTGTACCTGAGCAAGGCACTGTATTCGGGGAAGTAGACACTTCTGTACTCCACCCACTGGTCATCTGAGTTATCGCTAGAGTTTTGTGTCAGAAGCCTTTTCCTGGCAAAAAGGTCAAACGTTGCGAACCTGCGAACAGACACCTGTTTGACTTCTGGAGTGTCCGCCTGCTTCTGACGCAACACCTGTGAGAGTCGGGAATAAAGGGGAGTTAATGGACTTCAATTTCCACAAAAAGAGCTGGTAAATATTATAATAAGCTGTAAAGTCTCAGCATTTGCAGAGTGAAATGTTGTCCTTTTTTTGACAGTGTGAGGATTAATTTCAACAGACCGTTGGGAAGACCGTGACAAGCAATGGAGCAGAAAGACATATTGTACAGACTTTACATTTATCATTAGTCCAGATGTTCAATAACAAAGTCATACTTTCCTGAGATGAATTGAATAAAAGTTAAATGTAGGCTGCTTCAAACATAATGCACAGAATGAATTATGAATCTGTAGTTCTTTCTGCAGCATCTATATCTTTCTGTCCATCCATATATTCTCGTGAAGTCCACACATAGAGGACATTACTGCGCCAAGAGGAAGAAATGCAGAATGCAAGCTGGCCCCATCAGAGGGAGCTTTTCCTGTAACCCGAGTGTTATGTCTGTATAATGCCCATCTAAGGGGAAAAGCCCTACTCTTACAGTCACTGCTCATGCCTGTACAAGGTCTGTGTACATGTAAAGCTAATCAGAAGTAGAGCGAGAGACTCGTCCTCGTGACAAAGACACTGTGAAGCTGGAATGTATTGTTGTAAAATGACTCTTGCAGAAGGAAAGGATTCAAGTTATACTATATGCCAAAATAGATCAGCACGCTATAATAAACCAAGATTACTTAATACACAAACTGGTATTATATGTAACAGACTGAAACTGTTATTACATTGGCAAGGTCCCTGCCCATATTGTTCACATCTTGGGTTTGAATAAATACTACATGATACTAAAATACTACACAGTACAAATGCCCAACGAGAGATGCCCAAACAACACATTTTATGTTGAACATTGAACACATTTTGAAAACGCACGCACAAATATACTGAAACCACAAGATGTTTGTGCTTTCTTTTGAGGATACCAATACCTGTCTGAGTAGAGTCCACCTGGCCTTTGCCACATCAGTAGCACCACAGGTTTCAACCAGGGAGCTGTGGGAATTCGCTGCGCAGGTGTCTTGATTCATATTTTTCCTCAAAGGCGAAGCCGGCTCGGTCTTTTCTGCAGTACCGGTTGAGTCCCTCTCCATTTTATCTTCGAAGACGTGGGCGGAAATAAACCTGTAAACAAATACACTGGCTGTAGGGTTGTCACAGTTATCGGTAGAAATGTGGTTGTACAAAAAATAAGGTGGTTTTTTTCTCTCAAAACAACTCCAACGCAGCTCGCAGATACGCTTCACTGTAATCACCTGTTACACCCACAATGGAAACATGCTACTTCCGTACACTTTTGGCGTTCGAGGCATAGCAATGGAATATCGAAACAATGATGCCCGATCGTCCGTTACAAACTAACCGCCGCGTGTGTCTGGATTCGATTACTTTAGTCTGTGTATGCTCGCTACGTCATCCACAGTGGGCTTTGTTTAGGAAATCATACACGTGCATATAATCTCTACGCTGCTGTCAACGATACATATTTCGGGTTGAAATACAATGCCTATTTGTCATATTAAACGTGTAAACGGTTATTACTGTCGTGATGACCGATGTTAACTTACCAGGCAGTGACAGTTGGCTTCTGAAAACCACATAAACGCAGCTAGCACGTGTCTATTTACCTGATTAAACGTTACGTCTTTGTAATGGCTGTTCTCTCCTCTCTGCTGTGTTCACCGGCTCGTCTCGTTACACCATCTCGGTTAGGATTTTTTTGGGAGCTTGCCGTTCGCAAACGGATGACATGTTACTCCCTGTCCGTCCAACGTTGCTGCACGTCGGTAAGGGTGTTCAGTTAACGTTACGGGGATGCTGTTTCTGCAACACTTTTAGGCTTGGTGTGAGATTACTAGCTGTCAAGTCATGCATTATTCAAAACGGTGTCTCCTTTTACCAGGCTGACAAAACTAGTCTTGTACTGAGCCGCAGATAAGGGCACAGGGCTGAAATCAAGCACCTCTGGATGTGGCTCACTGCACTCACACGGAAATAAGCTACAAGGCCATTAATAATACAGTTATTACGTCATAATTCTAAAGTGTTAATTTCTTTACAATAATAATCCTCAACGATTTTCAGTCTTCCAAGTGGAATCTAGAATTAATTTAAAACAGTCACCTTGTTTATTTTGAATGGAAAGCATGTCATGACGCCACCCTACCAAATCACAACTTTACAACCTTATTTTTAGGTTTCTTGAAATCATCGTAGTGCAGTTATAGATGATAAAGACTACCATTGTTCAGTACTCTAACATCCAATACTAACATGTTTAACATATGCAGCCTTCTTATCACTTACTCCCATATTAAACTGCATATGCTTACACTTTAAGAAATAATAAATGTCTAAATATTGCAAAAATACATTCCTCATTTATGTTTTTGTCACAGCACAGGGAAATACCCGCTGAACACCAGTTCACTGAGTGGTTTACAAGCTATACTCGTCTTATTTAGACTTTCAGTGTCTTGCTCAAGCACAAGGTACAGAATATTGATTTGACCAGTAATGACACTTGCAATTTGAAAGTGTTTCGTTACAGTTTTTAAAAGTCTCTCGTTTTATTTCAGGACACTTCAAACTCATCCACTGATCATCTCAGCTCTGGACTTGAGAGGTACAAGGACTTGCAGAAGTATTTCAACAGGAGACTGAAGGCAACGTACCGCAGGTTGTCCAACACACCTGATCACTCATCGGTAAGGCCGGCCTCCTGCCTCAGCTTTGAACCATTTCGTAATGATTTGTAATATAAGCTCAGTGTAAAGGACATGAACATTCAGCCTTTTGGTGTCCCTGTGAATTCTCTTGACACAGATCTGTGGACATCACCATGAGTATTTCATTGAGAGTGATGGCATCTACAGATTGGACCAGAGACAGAGTAAGCAGAACACATGAATGCAGCTCGACTACTAATGTCAACAATTCATACAGCCAGATAATTGGGAAGGGAAACCTGTGACATTATTGTATTCTAAAGACTGGAGTTCATCCATGGAAATTTAATTGAAAAACCTTTTAAAGAGGACAAGAGGCAAACCAAAAACAAGATTAAACTGTAGTACCTTTTATCTTATTTATCCCCACAGCTGCATCTGCCACATCTTATGCGTTCCATTATGAGGAATAACGTCATTCCAACTTTTATGATTCGCTCAGTATCCTCTCCCCGTTTGCAGGTGAGCCGGTGTCAGAGCAGGTGCTAAATCTAGAACAAGTCTCTGGACAGGAGGAGAAGACAGGAGTTGATAATGAAGAGAGGAAGCAGAGGATTCAGTGGACTGTTCAGAGAATACGTCTGTCCCCACAGGAAAAGCATCTTGCTGCAACACTAAAAACTACTAACGGAGAAGAGCCGAGGTAAATTATACACTCAACATATCGTTTCCTCAGAAGCAATTTTTCTTCAACTGGCAAATTTGCCAAAACTGTCTCAGTTACTGAATGAATAAGTGGATGAGTGTCATGTTAATCCAGGTGTGTGGTTGTGAGACTTGGAAAGAGAAAGTCCTCCCCTCTGGATCCCCCACACGTCGTATTCACTCTGGATAAAGTCTTGAGCTTTGGTACGTTTTAAATAGTTTGCACTTGAGGTAATAGTGCCCTGGCTAAAATTAAAGGATACTTTTGTGTATGTACATGTGTCTGCATGTGTGAAGAGTGGGCCACAGACGAGGTCCTGTTTTACACAACTCTGGAGGGTCTACGCTGCGGCAGAGTGCTTCGGCTGGACCTGACCCCCGGTGGAAGCAGGATAACTTCTGTGTATGAGGAAACGCATCCCGAGTAAGTGTAAGTGATGTGACATCTCAGCTGCCTCTGCTCCCACACCACCTCTAATTGATGCACTGCCATCTCCACAGTGTGTTTGTGGAGGTTGCCCTTTCAAGAGACAGACAGATACTGAGCATCAATTGCAGCAGCAGGACCAGTTCAGAGGTGCTGCTAATTGATACAACAGCATCCCATTTAGAGCCTTTCCTGGTTCAGCCACGCCAGCCGGACCTCCTGTACCATGTGGAGCACTGGAGAAAGGGTCTGATTATACTGACTAATACAGGGCCTGGACAAGAATATCAGGTCGAGTTTATACACTTGTTAACAAACACTATTATACATTTCACATGAATAGAATGTGTTACAATATTTTAAATAGGTTTCTGTATGTTGGCACCCTTTAAGCCTTGTTTACTGTCTTGACTGGACACAATTGGTCCCTATTATCTACTTGATTCTGGTGCAGGAACTTTGGAAGGAGAAAAACATGCTGATAAATATTTTATGTTTTAATCTTGAAATGGAAAAACTAGGTTGTACAGGCCCCTCTCTCGGAGCCACACATGGTCTCCTGGGTGCCGTTGTTTGCCCCTGGCCCTGGCACTGCCATCAAAGACATGGACGTGGTTGGCGACCACTGCGTGTTAGTTGCGAGAACACCAGCCGGTGAGCTCATCCTGGTCGTGGTCCCGCTGACCCATCCCAAGGAGGCATACACTGTACAGGTCAGATAGTCAGATAGTCTTTAATGTCCCAGAGGGAGATTTGTTTTCACAGCCAGTGCAGATTCCACATACAGATATAGACAATACATGAAATATACACTTGGTCAAATCTACACATATCTTGCTTTTATGTATTAATGTCTTACACTTTTATATTTCTATACTCCCAAGCTCCCTTCCTGGGCCTGTGCCATCCAAACCAAGACACCAGGTGTGGCAGACCAACGCGGTGTGTTAGAGTTCTTGATTTCATCTCCAGTCCACCTCCCGGTGCCCTACTGTCTAAACCCTGAGGACGGGCTACTTTTATCAGGCACCGGAGATGGGACCTCCCTAGAGAGCCAGGGGAATTATACCACCACACGCTTAGAGGCCTGCAGCCAAGTGAGAACACTTGATATATAAGACGCATGCACACACACTGAAACACTATCAGCAGGGAGGTAAGCATTTTGTCTTGAAGCTCACGTGTCCACTGATGAAGCTCTTTTAGCCAACAAAGACAGAAGACCTCAATAGTACGTATTTGGTCCTGCACACATACACCTAGAACACAACATATAGAAGAATGATGATCATCTGCTCCTCACAGTCTCCAGACCAGTCTCTCTGCCTCTCCTCTGCAGGATGGTACCTTGGTGCCGGTGACACTGTTTCATTCAAAACCTGTGGAGAGTTTGCGCCAGGCGCCGCTACTGGTCCGTGTCTACGGAGCATATGGCAGAGATCTCAACATGGAGTTCTGCCCAGAGAAAAGGCTGCTGCTGGAGCAGGGCTGGACTCTGGCCTTCTGCCACATCAGGTAACGTATTCGCTCTGCAGCAGCCTAAAAACCAACCTGACTGGTTAATTCTGGAATTCGAACTTCTGTGTTGAAGTGAATCTTTGTCATGTACACCTTCTAGAGGTGGAGGAGAGCGTGGCCTGTTCTGGCAAAGACAAGCTCGCGTAGAGGGGAAGCAGAGAGGAGTGGAGGACCTCCAAGCCTGTCTCCATCACCTCTTCTCTTTAGGAGTCTCGTCTCCTTCACTCACTGCCCTCACAGCCTGCAGTGCTGGTGCTGTGCCAGTGGGAGCGCTGTGCAACAGACACCCACACATGGTGCGGGCTGTCACGCTGCAGGTAAAGGCGTTAAATCACCGGAGAATTGTGTATTCCTGTGTAGCTTTTAGTGTTATTCTATTTAAGAATATTACAGACTCTGTGTCTTCCTCAAGAGCACTTTAACAAGCAGGCGTTTGCCAATATGTAAGAGTTAAATATAAATTCAAGGACGGCCTCCTCACTCCTTGCACTCAGGTGTACACACACACACACACACACACACACACACACACACACATCCAAAGACACTTATTTTTCTGTGTTCAGGCTCCTTTCCTGGATGTGTTGGGAGCTATGGAGGATCCCAGCCTGCCTCTAACTTTGGAGGACAGAGAAGAATGGGGGAACCCAGTAGGAAACCCAAAACATAGACTAACCATCTCCTCCTACTGTCCCCTTCACAACATTACCCCTCAGGTGTGGAGAGGAAGACCGTGAAACCCCCAAAAAATGTAGCTGCAGTTTTTTATTATGAGATTCTCTCCGATTTACTCTTATTATCTTTGTGTGTGTGTGTGTGTGTGTGATTCTGTGAGCTAGTGCTACCCATCGATTCTGCTGACAGCATACAGCGGTGATCGTAGGGTTCCTCTGGCAGGCGTCCTCAGATACACCGAGCAGTTAAAAAACGCCATTCATACCCACCTCACCATGAAACCAGAGTCAGGTACGTGCACACACACACCGTCACACATGCTATCGCAACAGCGAACTCACCAAGCATGCTGTTGGATAAAAACAACTGTGTGTGCATTCCGGGATGGATTTCCTAATTGTTCCCACATCCTTTTCGGTGTGATTTCTGCATCATCAGAGGTTTTAATAGTTTAGGGTCAGCTCCCAATAGTAGTGTCAGTGTGCATGTCTGGAGAGGCAGCAGAAACCGGCGTATGGCTGTCTGTCCGTCGGTCTGGGGAAACTGCTAACAGCATTTAAAGTTCATGATCAAAGTATAGCATAGGTCACCTTGTAGTATAGCGTGTGTGTGTGTGTGTGTGTCAGTGTCAGCTAATTGCTCTCATGTCCCCCTAGACAGGCTCCTTCTCCCTCTCACTTATAATCTGCCTACACCACATTGGTGGTACTCCTCTTTACACCCCTCTCTCTCTCTCTGCACTGCCTCCACTCGCCTTGTTTCAAATTATCTCTCTCTTTCACCCTCTCTCACTTTCCTGTTGTTCCCACACACGCACACACACACACACACACAAGGCAGCTTACGTGTCTGTGTATGTGTGTGTATATGTCTCCCTAATCTGTCTCTCTCTGTTCTCCGGAGTCTTTGATAAAGTGCTGATGGCATAGACACATGGAGGCGGGTGGGCCGGCCCATTAGCATGGTAAAGAGATAGTGTATCAGAGCAAGAGATTAGACGGCACAGACTGGGAGCTGTCAAGGTCAAGACCGCACTTGTGAAACAGCCCGTACCACAGAGACGGGGGAGGGGGGTAATATGGTGGGTTTTGAGAAGAGGGAGGGCAATATCAGCTGGCAGCATGAATGAGAGAGAGAGTAAAGAGAGAGAGAGAGAGAGTAAAGACAGAGAGAGAGAGAGAGAGTAAAGACAGAGAGAGAGAGAGAGAGAGAGGGGATTTGGGACGACTAGACCGAGAGCAGAGAAAGTGGGCATACAATAAGATAAGGGGAGGAAGTTTGAAACAATGTCCCCCATTTTGCCTTTGACCTCCGTGTTCCTCGTTCTTTCAGAATGTGAACCAGCACCAAACGTAGTTCTGAATATTCAACCTGGAGCAAATCACCACGGACCAGATGACTTTGAGTTGATGCTGGAGGAGGTAATGCACTCTCCTCTCTCTAAAAGGGATTTGAAGCATTTTTAAGTTTTTAAAGTGGAGCTTTTTAAATATGTGCTTCCAAATATATCCACAAATAAGGCGATTTAGACACAAGCAGTTCTATTTGATTATTATTCTCTCAGTGATTTTGCTTGGCCAGATGCTCTTAAACCCACTGAAAATACACATCCATGCTGAAAAGTGACAATACTGTAAAGAGAATTTCATACAAACCCTTTTCTCACATTGTGAACACTGACATTAGTTTTATCGGTTGAGTTGTTGGGTACGGACTGAGAAATGTGTCCTCTGTCTTCTCTTCCCGACTCAGGAAGCCCTCACGCTAGCGTTCCTACACACAGAGCTGGACCTGGACCCTCCTCGGCCTCCACGCAGGAGGAAGAGATAGCACAGCTATGAGGGGGAAATCAGGAATCTAACCACAATGACCTAAACATCTGCCATCATGACCACAGTATGAGCCCAAATCTTAATCCACATCAACAGTGAATGTATCTGCAATGGTCCTCTTTATTATATGACATGGATCTCGTACAGAGAAAAAGAATCTTGATCGTTTGATTGCTGCTGTGAACTTTAATAACTTTTCATTTTAGCATTTATAAAGTATATCCATGACACTCAAATAGCAGGCCTTCTCAGAGACGTAGCACTGTTCTGGGTGGTTCGGATTAAACCGAGTGCTGGTGGAGTACTGAATCACCAAACTCTCTCCTGCCTCCGTCGGGATACCAGACTTTTGTAACGCCTTGCCGTCGTTGACTTGGTTGGTGCTCTTCAGCACCTTTAGCTGGTCTGGTAGCTCACGAACAGAGGAGAGATCTGTGATGGTGGATTCTTTACCAAAGTTAAGCACCATGAGGAAAGCTCGGTTAAGCCCATCCAGCTCTCTGAGGTACGAGAAGACACTGGCATCGGCGTGGACGTAGCAGAACCATCCGCGTTGAAGGGCGAGCTCTGACTGACGCAGGGCGGTCAGGAAACGGTACTGAGCCAGAACAGACCCTTCATCTTCCCTCTGGACCTAGAAGACAGAGAGTGGCACGGGGATGCACCATGATCAGGATCAAGTTGAACAAGCTCTGGCCAGATGTTTCTCCAGAGTTGGACAGTATTGAATGAGTTCTGTACCTCCACATTGATGCTTGTGTAATTAGGGTGTACAGGCAACCAGGTGATGTTGGTTTTGTTGTTAAAGCCTGCGTTCATGTCACCGCTCCACTGCATTGGAGACCGCTGAGGGTCCCGACTGGCACTCTGCAGGGAAATGTGAGCACAATGAATGTCTATGGACATACTTTCATGCACGTGCACTCAGTTTGCCACAATCCTACCATCATGAATGTCACATTGTTCAGTTGTTGAAATTTCTTTACAGAGGCGGTGATTTAACTTCATGGCCTTTTTTCCAGGCTGTATTTTGTGGTAAAGTTGGATACATTTATGTCACTATAACACACTTCATCCTGTTTTGTAACGTCATCAATTAAAAGGGCCATGGCAGAGACGTCACAGTGAGACATTCCTTATTGTGTATGCACAGTACTGACCGCATTGTATTTGCCAGCAAGGTCCTGTGTCTGACTGTCTGTGACGTTAATGTTCTCCATGCCTATCTCCTCGCCGTAGTAGGTGGTGGGCGTGCCTGGGAGGGTCAGCAGCAGCATGTTGATGACACGAATGTAGGTCTGACCAGCAGTGGAGGCAATCCGAGGCTTGTCGTGGTTCCCAACCTTATACACAGTTTAAGAGAAATACATGGAAGAGAAAGCTGATGTTGAAAAGTGAGGGATGTGAGATGTATAGATAAAGTGAGCGAGAATCCTGGGACTCCTGACTCACCAGCCAGGTGGCCCATTGTCCCCTGGGCATGTTGGCCATCCACAGCTGGACCAGATGTTTAACCCACGAGCCACTGTTGTTCTGAGGCAGGTCCAGCAGGTAAAAGTTAAAGGGCAAGTCACTTTCTTTAACCAGCGGGGTGCCATAGTACATCATGGTCTTGTCCACCTCGTGGTAATCATAAGACTCCGACACCATGAACCTGAAGTGGATCAAGAACTTGTTTATGAAAACATGCAATCTGATCCTCAGCCATACAGTGTCAACAAGACTTGATTTGAATCCTTGTGAACTCTGCTGAACTCTTTCATTGGCCTTTAACAAGGATTTAAAGTAGAAATTTAAACCAGAAAAGGTTTCAGACCTGTAGAAAAGAGGGATATTTATAGTCTGAGCTTTATATTGCGCAACCTTATTGTCATATTTATAGACAGTAGTGAAACACAGTTACATTAAACAGGGACACTCAAATTGTAAATACGAGTTTTAAACATGTGACGCAAGACAATACAAAGGACTGTTGCAGAAGTAATAAAATTATGAATGATGAGCTACGTGAACCTTATGGCAACGTGATCATCATACGTAGTAGCAAATGAAGTAGGTAAGAGCAGTATCAGTCCAAAGTGTACAATAGTATTATTGTATGGCTCCCGTACCTGTATCGGCCAGGCTCACGGCTGTAGACATCCATCTCAGCCCTCCAGTCCCTCAGCAGGTCGTGCAGGCCCAGCTGACTGGTGGTGTAGTCATGGTGGAGGTCCCACTCTGAGGCCACAGACTCCTGGATTGTTGTAAATATAAATAAATATGGAGTAATGTAGCTATTATTGGATGTCAGGCCTATTCATTTAATTGGTTTCGCATATGGTTTAGGGTACTAGTGGTCTATTCACAGTAAAGCTTCCACCCTTAGATCATCCACCACAGTGGATCAAGAGAGCTCAACTGTGTTTTCCTCTGCCCACTGGGAGTTATGAGAGCTTGGGTGTGAATGTGTTCCTTTGTCCACCTAAGCACCGGGTCCAGTCACAGGCTCAGATAGAGAGTAGAGGCCAAGTGATAAGAGACTTTTGGGTTCAATAATGAAGGAGTAGTGTTAAAAAAATGTTCAGTTTGGTGCTAATTTTATTGGTAAATTATTGGTTGTTATTGGGGAAGAAGACAAAAGTAACACAAGCAGAAAAATATGTCTTGTTAAGTATAAAATGTCACTCTCTGGGCCCTAATGGGACCACAAAGACAAAGCAACAGTTGTAAGCGAACCAGCCCGGAACCTGCTTCAGTGCTGGAAGGCCTTTTGGAGGACAGTGAAATAAAACTCCTAAACACCTAATGTGTGTGTCTCTTTGTTTGTGAGGACACAGGGACAACCCACAGGTTCCACACCATAAATCTATTCACAGATTTAATTACTGAGCTTTGGACATGCTGCCACATGAGCAAACCGCTCAGCACAATAAAGCACATAGTTGGTCTGAATTTAAAGCTACAACTGGCACTAAACCACTAAAGCAATAATGCCAACACTGATAGCTGGTCAAGTTAGGATTATCAGATTCACAGTTGTTGTACATTTCTCAATATGCCAATAAACACACAGCTGTGACTCTTTATTGCAATTTAGTGGTTAAATGTTTTTGTAGATTGCATGAAGATCTCTGTGTATTGCCCAACAGTGACCTTTTGTTTTGTTCCACGCCACTATAAAGCACCGCTCGGCGAGGGTTATTAAAGACGAGTAGTCGGTCAATGCAGCAGTGAGTGTCACCAGTAGAGTCAGTTATTCTCAAGTGGTAGGTAATTCCCAATGATTTGCTAATCCCCCAAAATATGCCTCTTTTCTACTAATCTTTCCCCTGTGAGAAATAACTTCAGTCTCCATGGTGCAAAAAGTCTCTCTCAGTGCGCTCTGCGTGAATCATGACCCCTTTGAATTCCAGAAGGGCACAAGATGAACCTGACATTTAAGCCAGAGATAAATGAATGATAAATCAAGAACACCGTGAACTCTCCCACTCAGCTGGTGATTGTGTTTGTTGTACCAGCTACACGAGAGTACTGCTTCAGCCGAGCAGCTTCTGCCCACAGTGCTGCTTTTATCCCTCAGACCATTACAATCTGGACTCTTGACCCTTCATATCATTCAACAAGATACAATCATGATAGAATTGCATAACTGAATGTTACAATACAGATTGTTAACTACAACTGAATTTTGAGCTCCCAGGAAGAAGAGCTGCTTGGTGAGTGCACAGTAGAGCAGTAGCAAAGAGTAAAGAAATGGACACAGACAGACCTCACTGACTGACCATCTGAACATCTGTTATTATTAAATATTAAACATGACAAGCCAGACCTAACACCTTGTGACCATCTCAGAAGGGGGGCTGGACATGGGTCTTAAGTCTATGAGGACAGTGTCTCATCACTTCAAAAAAATTGTATTATTTCATTGTCAATTTATCCAAAATGATAACTAAAAGAGGTGCCACTCACTGGTGCTTTGTTTGGGTCCACCTGTGGTTCATCCCTCAAGTGTGCAGCCTCCATGAGGCGCTTCACTGCACCCATCCGGAACCCGTCCACTCCCTTCTCCAGCCAGAAACGAATGATATCCTAAAATAGAATCATAAATATAAACTTGATTAAAAAATGCTGTGTGTGCAGTGAGAAAATGTGCTGAAGGCCAGACTCTAGTGCTTAAGTGTCCTTTGATTATCGTAAAATTGTTGCAGGCATAGTCTGTACTTCCTTATTGTTCTGTGAATTGGCAGATAAAAAGACACACGGAGTTACTAGCTCAAGTTTATGTGGAATCAGTTGGCCATTATCACACATTACAGCTACAGATTACAAGGATTGTGGATACCTACAACAATCACGGGACAGTGGAGAAGACGAGCCAGATGGGGACAACACTGACGAAGATCTTAGTACGAGATATGTTATACGAGTCACTAAAAACCAAACGCTTTTAGAAATGAGTCAATAGCAGAGACAATGTGTGCGGCCGTGTAATCTTACAGTCATCTCTTTGCGGACATGTGGGTTTCTGAAGTTCAGGTCCGGCTGCTCCTTGAGGAACTGGTGCAGGTAGCATTGTCCTCTGACTTCATCATAAGTCCATGCCGATTTCCCAAACACACTCACCTGAGAGAAAGGAGGAGGGAGTCAAGAGGAGAAGAGACATGAACACCGGTCTCCTGGATGAAAGTCCTGTGTGTTTGACTAATCCGCCCTAATCTGTCATCACACTACTGTAGAATTTTTTTTAACGTCTAATAATGACGGGGATGGGTTTTATATTGTAGTTACTTGAAAGCCTGTGTCTCATACAGATGCTAAAAGGTGACTTGTGCGTCGATATCAGTCGCAGAGAGGAGTGACAAAGCGTCGGTATTTGACGCCCTGGGAGTGAGAACGGGATGAGTGCAATGCATCAGTGAAGGTTCTGTGAAAATCACTACCGACCCAATTATTAGGCCTCGGAGCGGATCCATTGCAGTCGGTCCAGACGTAGTAATCCTTGTAGTGAGGGTCTCCAGTCCGGCTCAAGTTAAACCAGCGGTGACGGTCGCTGGTATGATTGGGAATGAAATCCATGATCAGCTTCAAACCTGGTGGGAACCGAGAGATTAGTGTGAGTCTAAGACATGGACCCTGCCAGCCAGACAACTCTGCTACCCCCAAAACAAGACGTGTGGCGATCCACCATCAGATCTGTGGAGAGGAGAGTACACACCTTTGTTGTGCATTTGAGCCAGAAGCTCTTCAAAGTCTTGAATTGTTCCAAAGAGCGGGTCAACGGCCCGGAAATCTTCCACATCGTAGCCGGAGTCCCTCATGGGAGAGCAGTAGAAAGGACTGACCCACACTGACTTGATGTTCAGGTACTGGAAGTGATCCAGCTGCTCCTGAATGCCTGCCAGACCAGAGACACCAGTGATCAATGCTGGATACTAGAGGACTTGGTGCCAAAGACAAAGAAGTGCAAAACTTGTATTAAAATAGAATATTTCAACCAATAATGTTAATGGTGAAATAAAATCAGTGATTTTATCATTTATTTAAGTCCCTCTGCTTGTTGTTTATTCTTTCTATTTGGTAATAAAGTAGTAATAGGCCTACATGTTGGTATAACAAATACTTGTGGGCTTGCTTTACACTCTCTAATACGCCATCAGATCTAGATTTATAAATGTTAATACATTGTTAACAAATGTATTTTGGTCCAAATACGCTGCAGGTATTTTCTAGAATGTAACCGGTCCATTAGAGTGCCTACGATGAACTAAAGAACTAAAATATATCCTCCTCCTGCTGGAGGAGGATCTTTCACAACCTGGCAACTCAAACGATATTCTGTGTGAAAACGACTTAACGGTCATGAATAAAGCCGTTAGTTATACATTATAACCATTTATATAGTGTGACTTCATAGAAATAAACACGTGTTAAGGAGGATTAATGATCTGTATCAGAGCACGCGCTCGAGTCAGGGGCATCTTACCTTTGAGGTCTCCGACCCCATCTCCGTCGGAGTCCTTGAAGGACTGGAGATAAACCTGGTACACCGGGGAGACCTGCCACCACTTCAGGCATCGCGGAGACAGCGCGATCACCGTGACGGTGATCGCCACCAGCGCCAGGGTGCACGCCACCATCAGCCAGAACATGATCTCCCGGGGCACCCGGTACCGGGCCTTGGAGGAGTGCTGCAGCACCACCTCCTTGGGCATCCCGGGGTACGGCTTGATCTGCTTGTATTCCGCGTCCGCGTCCAAATTCAGCGTGGTGGTGTCGCGCCTCTCCTCGGGCTCTTCGAGGTTGACGGTGTCCGCCGCTGACCCATCGCCGTCCACGTCCTGATACCCGGGGTTGCGCTCCCCGAGCTCCCTGCTACCGGCGGCTTGTGCAACACTCATCTGATTCGCAAGAGGGAAAAACAAACGGTGTTGATTTAGCTCTTCTTCGGGAAGTCAGACTGACTCAAAGAGGCCAAATTACGCTATGTAACTGCTAGAGGCCAGAGTACTCTCTGTCTTCCTCTCTCTCACATACACGCGCACACATACGCGCGCAGTGCCACCTGAGGAATGTGGGAAGCTGGAGAGTTGGATGGGATCGGGTGGAGATTAACCTTTCTTGCTGCAGTGCTGACTGAGATGTGTAGTGGGAGAAGTATTCATACCCTTCACCTGTGTCGAGTCACAGCTTAATCTTGGAGGAATGGGGATTTCGAGGTAAACTTGTTTAACAATGGTGCGACAGAATAAACAGTTTAAAATAACAACTTTGTAACTGTATTACAAACGGGAATTGCATTGTTATTGTGTTAGCGCAGTGGGATATCTTAAATGTTTTATCGCCAGTATTTCCTCGAGTTCTGTCTAGGATCCAAGTTTACCTTGCGCACCAACGCTAATCTCTTTGTCCTCCTACGCATGCGCAAATTTCAGGCGACATCTCTCGAAAACTACAGCACTGACGCAGAAACCTCCTGGGTTTCTGGTGGTACCCTCATAGGTGCAATTGTTGCACTTTTGAGAAACATTGTAACACAAATCAGTTGCCAAATTATAGTCATTTAGCTTGCATGATGCAGAAACCTACTGGTCAGACCGAAAATATATATATAAATATCCCAAATTATATTTGAATGGGAGAAAGAGGACTGCCTGTTAAGTACATCCTATTCAACATGTGGAATTATCAAAGCTGAATATTCAAATACAAATTCTGCAAATCTGAATTATTTGTCCCTTAATCCAAGTGATGCGACGTCTTCAGGGGACACCAGGCCATGTGAGAAGACTTGTGCTTTCTTTTCCGAGCTACACGCTGACTTTTTCTTCTTGACAAAGCCTTTTGTGTTCCCTGGCACTGAACAATGTACACCACACAGGGCACAGACAGTAGAAAGTACAACTTTCTATTGTGATGCGCTGAACAGTGAAAGCTCGCAACAGCAAAAAAAGGCACAAAGGCCACATTTCAAGTTGCCACTGAATAAAAGAAAAACGCAAAGCAGTTGAAACCGTTTTAAACTTAAATCCATCTTTTATTGACATTTATGTTCACTGTATGGTCTGTAACATCACAATAGCATACTGGGGAATTAGTACAGGAAGAAGGGATGGTGTTGTCTCATCAACCTGAAGGTGAGTGGGTCACACATTACACCACCTTATTCGGTCTTCAAAATACATTTTTTTTTTTTTTTTTTTTTTTCATAAGAGCTGAAAAGCACTGGAATAAATAAAAAGTGTGTAATTCATCATCGCCATCATAAACCCATCAACTCTAACAGTGTGACGTGACAGGAGGAGGTGGCAAAGAGCACTCGGGTTCATTTCCATCCAAAGCCCACATGAGGAACGTCGTGTCTGGGGTCCTCGCGGGTATTTCAACCCCAGCGGCCCAAAATAATGACACGTCCTGGAGACAAAGTTCTCTTTGCTCAACATATCCGGAAATCAAAGCTGAAAAACAAGTCGGGGTCAAACTATTCAGGCATCACCCGACTACCAAAGTCTCCTTTAAAAAGAGCGAGACGTCTTCTCGCGTGAGTCTTGCGATTATATTCCACAACAAGAATTATTCTCACATACTTTCTTTTTTTTTTTTCCTTCTTCAAAATGGAGGGAGCAAAGTGAGCTTGTTTTGTCATTAAATGACCGATGAGAAGAGACTGTGATGCTGCAGTGATGCTTGTATTCTGTCCATGCAGTGGAATCAGTGTGAATAATGAAAATTACATTAAAGAAAAAAAAAAAAAAAAAAAAAGACCTCTCCTTCCCTCCCTTAATTTGTCTCCTCGCCCAGTGTCTGATTTAGCTTCAACATAAACCTAAAAAAAGAATTGTGTTCAGTGTGGTGAAAACATTAATACGTTAAAAAGTCAGGAAGTGTTAGTGTGAATACATTGTAGGAGTTCACATGTCAGAACAAAACATCAGCTGCAGTGTAAAACATGAGATATTTGGGGGTTTAACCAACTGAATTTCAGTCTTAAGAACAAATCGTATCCTGCTATGTGCTCCACTATCCTCCATGTTCTTCTTCTTATCGTCCCCTTTCCTCTCCAACGTTGCGTTTTTCACCACACTGAACATGCCCACATTATCGCCCAGTACATCTCACACACAAAACACACTCCTCCCTCAAACCACAAAACATGCACAACTAGAGACCCCCCCCCCCCCCCCCCACTCCCACTCCCTCCCTCCACCACAAACAAAAGAAAAGCAATCATCCCATTAAAACGACTGCAAAAGAACTACACATTCAAGTACCTATTTGTCATATGGCATCAAGAGCAAGTGTACCACCAGAACATTAATCAGCAACTCCGTTAGGCCTATTGTCTTTCAACACTACCACTTCAGAAAGCACAATTGAATGATTACAAAAAGAAAAAAAGTGTATATTACAGTTTTGTATTGACTGATGGCCTATTGTAAATGCAATACAGAAAAAATACACATGCAAAGTATGTGTATCCACTTTGTCAATGCCCACATTTGTTTCAAACAGACAATATAGTCATCTAATCACTTATTAGTGCTTATAGACTTATAGACTCCTGGTCGATCAAAAGGAGTCAAACCGGGGCTTAGAGGCAAGTCCATGACGGGAGCTGTGGACAAAATGAAGGACAGCAATTTCAGGGACAATGCGAAACACAGCTCTGGGGGGGGGGGGGGGGGCAGTTGTCGTTTGTCCCTACAGTGTCCTTTACTTCCTACAGTGAAACCCCAAAAACCTACACCTCTCCCCCAAATCTACTGTACAAGGTATATTTCATGCTGCCCTCGTTGTTTTCTTATCCATCTACAGGACGCTAAAAAGCCATATATAGCAAAACACATTAAGAATCCAATCAAAACAAAAAAAAGACATGTTGGTTTTGCTACGCGTTATTTGAGAAGTAGAAAAGGCAAGTTGTAGCACGAGCAGGATTGTTTGTGTCGAGGAGAAAGGAGGAGAGGAATATCTTTATCCCCCAACCGTCTTTGGAGCGCTGCTGTGTGGAACACGGTGTGTGCAACTTCCACTTTTTTTGTGTTTTAATTTGTCTACACACAAAGAGGTGCACACACACACACACAGGACACACACACACACACATTAGGCCACAACGAATACTATGGCTGGGAATTAAGAGGAAACAAACAAATCAAAATATATTTTTATATATATAACTATCTTTCTCTCTCTTAAACAGTAGGCTGAAAAGCTTATGATTCTGGCAACGTCTGCCAGTGCAAATGACAGCAGTGTCTCTTCTGCCATATGAAGAGACGGAGAAAGAGAAAAAAGGGAGAGAGAGAGAGGGAGAGAGACAGAGGGAAGAGTGAGAAATCGACTGCACTACAACGTCCTACGGGAGGAGAGGAACTGAGCCGGGAAGTGCAGGAAGAGTCGTCACACTTGAGTTTAAACCATCTTCATGTAATTCATCTCTCCGCAGCCAGGAACACCGGCCCATGTCCTGTTTTTAGTTTGGACCCAGTGTGGAGGAGCCAGACAGACCCCGCTCCCCTTGTGTTCAGGTGTCTTTGGATAGCGTGGGGCTTTTGGGAGTTTTAAATCCAGGAGTTCTGCAAAAGCTGCCAGGTGACGCGTCGGGCCCTCATCCGAGTACCAGTAACGCCCCCAGAACCCCAAGCTGGACGGCGAAAGCTTGAGATTTGTGGGAGTCGCAGGCTTGTGTGGTCGGTTGGCTGCCGGTCAGCTGCAAGTAAAGTTCACACTTCCAAAACAAATAACGCAAAAAAAAAAAAAAAAAATGCAGCCAACAAACCACTTCAGTCCATTCAGTATCTTACAATTTCTCCATCTCTTTCGATTGGTGAGGCCCAAAGTGTTCAGAGCTGCTCCTGTGTCTCCGTCAACCCACAACAACAACAACAACCACAGAGAAAGCAAGAAACGGATGGACCAGAGGAACTGTGCTTGTTTGCCTCTCTTAAGTATATACTGTATATGTAGTTATTCTTTCAGATATTAACGCAGTTGTTCTCATCTTCCTCCCGTTTTGTTCTGTAAAAAGAACTAAATCTGTTTCGCAGTCCTCCACGTTGGGTGAGTCGTTTGTTTTTAAATCCAGGATTTCTGCTTCGATTGATCTCGGTGTGGGGAATAAAAAAAAATTAAAAAAAAAAAAAAAAAACACCCCAGAGGAAATTAAAAAGGTGACTATGAATGTGATCTTGTGTGGAAAAGTGGTCCTGTTCTTCTGGGATCAGGCAGTTGTGCTGGACAGCTACCAGTGGTACTCCAACTCGGCTCCGCTCTGCAAGAGGGGAGTAGAGTATGGGGAGGAGAGGCGGAGGAAGGAGGGAGAACAGAGAAGAAGGAAAGCAAAAGGACGGAAACAGAGAGCACGCTGTTATCAAATGTGGAAAACAATCATTTACAGTCACATTCACTGATTTCGTTCCCCAGCCTGCACTTCAACGACAGGTTTTCCTTCAAAACAACAACAGGGAACACTTTTGATCGAAGTGTGTGGCTTCTTTCTGCAATAATACGCAAACACAACAATCCCCAAGGCCTCTGGTGTTACTGCGGGAGTGACACAGAAAACGGAGACTGAGAAGACACTTTGCGTGCAGTTGTGGAGAGACGGAGTGAGACAGCGATGCATGCGTGTAGGACGTGTGACGTGAGAGGGGGACGGACAGGAACCAGAAGACAACGACCAGTCAACCTCATAACACCTGGACAGCCATGTCTGCACACACACACACACACACACACACACACACACACACACACACACGCACACCTTAAAGTCACGGAGCTCCACATGCCAAAGAGTAGATCAAACCAGGACGTAGAGACTGATGGAGTGACAGGGGAACATGTGTAGCAGGTCACCACTTACATGCCTGTAAGAGTGTGTGTGTGTGTGTATGTAGATGAGTGGTTGGAAGAGGGGGGGGGTGTAACAGTTATATATGTGATCACTTACCAAATGAAACAGGAGGGCTGCGTTAATCAGAGGGTTAACACACAGTTAGACAAATCGATACATCCCTTATCAATGTGTGTGTGTGTGTGTGTGTGTGTGACAGAGCGCGTGTGTGTACATTACCACACACAATTTGCTAACTACACTTTTAAAGAGTGGAACAATTCCACTACTTGTGCTGCTATGATTTATTTAAAACATTTTCTTTACTGATAGCACCTTTAATTGAAGTCTGTTGGAAAATGAATAAGTGTTATTAACAGCATTCCTTTAAGATTGTTGCTATTATGATTACAATTTAAATGTATTTAAAGCCACTATGTGTACAACATTAATAATGAAATTTAGACTAGCATCAAAGACTTCCACCAGGACTGGTATATTATTTCTACTAAAAAAAACGCTCTACAAATAGCGGCTTTAAGCAGAGTAGATAAAATCCTTTTGAATTGTGTGTGAATGTATGCGTGTGTGCGTGTGTGCATGTGGCAAACAGTCACAGTACCTCCAAGTCTTTACAGACACACCAAGGTGAACATCACCTCACCCCAACAGGAGCTACCAAACAGCAGACCTCTCTCACACTCACACACACTTCTTTGAATCGGGCTCCACCTCAGGACTCGTCCGTCACATCAACAGACATACAAGAACACACCAAACATAACGGCTAATAAACAAATGGGCGGAGCTTTATAATAGCACTGCAATGCTAACGGTTAGCAAAGTGCCATCTCAGTGGGTTATTCCCCTCAGGGGACGCGCATGTAACCACCCATCCACTGCAACAACAAAGAGTGCCAGGGCCACACATTCAACTCTTTCAGTAAACCTCGCTGGCAGGTAGAGAACTCTGCAGAACGCCAGAGTGCAAGACTACATCCTTAAGGCCTTTGACACAGCTTTGGCATTTGTTATCGATGCGATTTGCACTTGAATAGGTTTTTTTTTTAATTGTTGTTTTTGGCACTTTCAAAAAAACCTGAATATTAAGCAACAATAAAAGCAGCCGATTTTTCGGCGCTTTCTCAACACAAAGAAAGGAATCAACCAATCATGTTACACGGAGCGGACGTAAAGTCACAACACACACACACAGGCTCCCATCAGGTCCCATCAGGTCCCATCAGGTCCCATCAAGTCCCATCAAGTCCCAAAGTTTGCAGTCCCAAACCAGGACTGCAAACTTTATTTTGGAATTCGGATATGCGTGTGAAGTATTTGACACAGCAAGTCAAAATTGTGTCAAACAATATTGTGTGATTTCTTGGAAAATCACACACAAAATACCAATTTTTATTAGTGTTCCCCACACATATAGACTTTACTTGGACTAACGTCAAAAAAGGCTTCTCTATATAGAAGCCTCCCTGGCTGTTGATTAAGCTTAGGGCCGGCCCTAACATCTATGCATTGTGATTGTATTTGGCATAAGTTATTGATGGGGTGTGTATAAGTGTGTTTGGGGTGCAAACAAATAAACCACTCAAGGAAATCTTGGAGCGTCTCATTTAGAGATATTTCAACAAACGAAAAGGCTTCCGTCTGCAGTCACTGGATTTGGTAAAAGTGCAAAAGTTCTCAGTTCCATTCGGAAGACTTCTGACAAAGCGGTGTTGTCATGCATGCATAGTCCATTATGAAGGCTGACAGGAAGGTGTGCACAGAACAAAAAACTGATGTTTATCACAATGGAAGGGTGTGCTGGGCTCAGAGCCACCTCTGTCGTCAATAATAATACTTAATCTGCTACGAGTGTGAAAATAAATACAATGCACACGAATCAGCAGCTTGGTCCGCCAGAGGGGACGAATCAACATGAGGAGGTTTTCATTGAGGCCACTGGAACTCAGATGTGTTGTGTAGACCTCTAGACTTTAGCAGAAGGACAAAGCTCATCATTACATCTACTGATACTGACCCCATCTTCCTCTCTGTACGGGTTCAGACGGTTGTATACTGCTTCAATAACACTGCGTCTGCAGGAAGAACACAAAGGTGCGATTAGATCTTTTGAGCGATTCAATTCAAACCATCAACAACAAAGGGCGTGTGTGGAAAAACAAGGAACAGTAAGGTGTAGTTGGAAAAGTAGGTATGTAGTCCCAATGACATACAAAAGTCTACACACACTAGATAACTGGCTTATATATCTACACGACTCTCCTTGTAGTTGGATATTATTATTCCAGATGCTTATTACTGTGTTACAATAAGACTGAGTATCCCTCTGAGGGCGTTGGTCCTTACTTGCTGGCGAGGCCCCCCCCCTGGTGGCAACGAGGGCATGCCGATGTCGGTGGACAGGTTCCTCAATACCGCTACCAGGTCCGGAAACCCGTCCTCCACTGGCCGAGACAGCATCTCTAAAATAACACCAGACATGTTGTTACACAAGACAGTATTACCAGAGCTGGTGACAGCCAAGGACAGCCGAGTAAAGACGGGGGAGAGAGAGAGGGGAGTGGCCAAAAAGGCGACAATTGAGGCGATAAGAAGTGAGGACAGAAGACATACAGTACGACTGAATTTGTGGGAATGAGTGCACATCTGAGACAGAGAGAGGGAGGGAGATGGTGACAGACGGAGGCCTGTGGCATGAGGCCAGGTCAATGTTCAGCCAGAGCATTCCTCGCTCCCTCCCTCTATCTTACAGTATTAGACGGCACCTGAAGCCAAATATCCGGACAAACTTCTGCATAATTGTACTTTACCCTGGAATGTGACATTAAACCCACTGTGGATTACATGAATTAGCAGTTTATACACAATGGATAGTATAACCTTCAGTATCTTCAAAATAAAGGTTTTTCCATTCTGTGGATCAAGAAACAAAACCGGTGCCATGTTGATGAAACAAGACAAGTGTAAAGATTCAAGATTTCTTGTTTGGTCAAATTCTGAAACAGCTGACGTCCCCACGGTAGCCAGAAGAGAGCTGACGTAACCAACGAAGACTCAAAAAAGCTGCCCTGTGTTCATCATTGGGCCTCCTGAAAACAAAAAAGGTGATGAAATGAGAAAGAAAAGGACAGAAAGAAATACAAGAGGAGAGCAGGGAACCCATCCAAACAAAACGGTGGATGTTTGAGCGAAGGAGGAGGAGCGAAGAGGGAATGAAGACGGGAGATGTTTGCTGGAATGGAAAAGAAGGTCATGGTGGAGTCATTCGTCTGCTGTGAGCCAGAGATAACTCGGCTGGAGGTTAGACAGTGGAGGGTGGCAGGGTCAGCCAGTGGAGAACACAGACAGATATGATGTTTCAGTTGGAGAACGATCAGGTGTCAACAAGAAAAACCTTTCTAGGATCCAAGATAAAGACTCCACCGTTATAAACAATAGTTGTGGCTGTAATTTGGAGTTTGTACTCCTAAAATTGTTGACATTTAATAGCATACAGTATTTTCTTCACAGCTTACTTCATGACAGTAGCTCAAGAACCTATTTAAATCAGATGTCCTGTAAAAATGGGTTATTTTTCCTCCATCCGTCCAATCTCACCTTCCACTCGAGACTCCAGATATTTGTTGAGCTCAGCGTCTTTCCTCACAGCTTCCTCCGACACTTTGGGGGCGTTGGGCAAACACACTAACACAACACTCATGTTATCCCGACTCCCCTGAGGTGGATGCGAGGAGAGAGGAACAGAGAAAGAGCAGGTAAGAGGAGGAGCTATTGTGTGGTGCTGAAGGAAATAAGGAAGAAGATTTCCTGAGTAACAGTCTGCACTGTGAATCACAGCGCCGCAGTGTTGATGCAGACCGCGCAATATTTTAATATAAATATGCAATTTTTTCCATCTCAACACTCACTATTTGAATTCATTGTGATAAACTGAATTCAAAATGACAAAACCTCTGCTCAGAACTGAGGAATTCTGCACGATGTTTACAGCAAAATACAACAACTTGTAATTGAAGCCATTTTGACTTTTTCCATGTTTTAAATCCGCTAATTTCAGTTGTTCCTCCTAGTTCCAGCAGGGAATATAAATGGCCTTCTTGGTGACACACTAATTCAAAAAAAGTAATTCATGGCACACTCGTTTCTTGGAAGACTTTGTTGCAAAACATCACAAGCAATCACATCAAAGGTCACGCTCTGAGCCAGGTTTGTACACACCTTGTGCAGGCAGGTGTCCACCACCTCGTTGCAGACTCTCTCCAGGTCGTCAGACACCTCCAGCCTAGATTTCACGAACTCGCACAGCTCCTCGTTGGACATGACGTCCCAGATGCCGTCACACGCCAGGACCACAAACTGATCCTGTTCTGGGGCCCGGACCATCTCAAACACCTCTGGTTCAGGGCTAACCAGCTGCTCCGTGGGGCCCTTGCCATCCACGCACTTGTAATCGAAGTCCCCCAAGGCCCTCGATACGGCGAGCGACCCGTTGACCCTCTGAATCATCACCGAGCCGCCGGCGTTTTGGATGCGCTCCCTCTCGCGCGGGTTGCAAGGCTTGTGGTCGAGCGTGGAGAAGCACACGTGCGAGTCGCGGTACAGAACGGCTCGCGAATCGCCACAGTTGATGAAGAAGAAATGATCGGGGGACAGGAGGATCCCCACCGCTGTGGAGCCGCTACGGTCCATGCCGTTACGGAGGTCGGAGAAGCTGCGCATGTGCTCGTCGATCTTCAGGAAGCCTGTCCGGATCCCAGATTTCACAGTCTCCACCGTGGAAGGAACCAGTGCTGGAGAGTCACCTTTGTCCGATCCGGTCGGGGAGCCCGGGGTCCCTCCGGCCCCTGAGCTAGCGCCAAGTATGTGTTCCAGAAGATGCTTAGAGCAGTAGGTGGCGACCCTCGAGCCAGCGTGACCGTCGTACACGGCGAAAAAGCACCAGTCGGTCATACCGGGAGCTGGAAGTCCCAACACAGCGGTGTGAGCGTCCTCCATCTCCACCCGCCAGCCCTGCATGGAGCTCAGCCCGTAGCGCACGCCGTTGCCCTCAGCATGCAGGTTGTGCTTCTCCGTCCTGGGCTTGTCCAGGAACGCACCCATGGCTCTGCCCTGGAGAGGAAGAGAGGAGAACAGACAAAAACACAGTGAATTTGAGTTCAACAGTTGAGTCACTGCAGGCCTGCACTATGTTAACACAGAAAGTATTGATATTATTGGATAATGGATTAGGGAAGTTGCAGAGGAAAGGTCATATGAATCATCAAAGCAGGGCTGTCCTCGACCAAAGAAGTTCTTAGTCGACTAATAAATCGCACGATTTTGTCCACACAACCACTTTAAATCTCGTGTTTACCAGAGATGTGCTCATTCAAGTACCGGCAGCTTGTGAGATGTGCTAGTGCTCAACAAAAAGTCACCGTATTACAAAGAGTAAAGCTAAAGTGAGTGGCAAAGTTTCATTTTCTAGTTGTAGAATCCGGTTGTGAACATAAATTAAGCTTCCACTCACACTTGTAGAGATCTCAACTTTACCTTCAAGGGCCTGAAAATGTGAACCCAGCAAACCGTTAAAGACTTGGACTGCTTTCGAGCATGTGTGTGTGTTTCTTGTACCGTTTCCCTCGAAGAATAATATCCAGAAATAGCACAGCCACTTTGTTTCTATGCTTTAAGAGACTGAGGAGCCAGCTTAAAAGCTTCTTTGGCCGCCAGAGCTGGCTACTAACCGCATTAACCAACTATAGGGAGTGGATCCACAGGATGTGTTATCAGCCTGTAGCTGCACCTTTATCAGCTTCATGAACAGCACCAGGCTGCTTGAGAGGAGATAATAATTCTGTATGGTTACGTAACGTGAGAACATGAACATATATAGTCCTATTGATTAATGGCCTCTAAGCCTCGGAAGTTGTGCTCTTAACTTGTACCTTAATTCCTGAAAATATCAATAACTGCTACTTACGAATAAGCTGTAGGCATACTTAAGGTTCCGGTCTCTTACTGTTCACATGCTTAAGGCTCACGGTTACTTTATTTTTTAAACATAAGAACTTCCTGGTTTCTCACCATCTCAGGTTTCTGCTGACCGGTGATTTAAGGTCAAAAGGTGATTGCATGGTTTGTATTTTATCATCAAAAATGAAACAAAGAAATGCAACCTTGCAATAGATGAAGGCGAGACAATCACATGACTTGACAAATGAGCATTTAGTCTACCGTTTTTAGTTTCACATCTCTCTGACCATACGGATAAACATCCATTCATAACCGAGCAAGCTTTCTACACCGTCACATGACAGCCTGCACTGCACTGACTTTTACATGCATCCTGACATGAGATGTCAACGGTTAACCGGTTAACCACCGAGAACTTTATGTAAATAAAATAGAACAGGACGCATCGCAGAGAAAGGCCCGATGTGTGTGTGAAACAGCTGGACAAGCACACACACTAAGCCAGGTGTGTGTGTGTGTTCAGCTGTGTCTCTCTCAGAGTGAATTAAAGAGCAGGCGACAAAGCAGACAAATGAGTATTGAGTGTTTCAATTGATAACCGCAGCGTTGTCTGACTGTCTGGCTTTTACAAAGACCAGCGATCAAGCTACTCAGAACGACTATTAGCTGATAATTATTGGTGTCCGCTCGATCGTAAATGATCAAAAATGTGGCAAAAAAACTTCAGCAAAGCCAACAGAAAGTAAAAGGCACGATACATACAAACACAAAACTCATGATTCCAGCAACTCTACATGACAGTGTATAATAATACACAGTCAAGGGCCCTGGTACACAATGTCTTTTCCATACCTTGGTCCTGCATAATATATATATATGTGTATATATATATATATATATATATATGTATATATACACATACATATGTTGTAACGACTGATGTACGCACTGAGGACTCCTGGGCGTGATGTCACCCAGTCCGATGTCTCTATGGTTACACAGCTTGGAGTGGCAGCTGAGTAGTTGCCATAGCAACATTAGCAAGTAGATGTTGGTGGCTGCAGCGTGCAACGAGAGAAGTGTACAACCAGGTCACACTGTGTGTGTGTGAATGAATGAGTGAGAGAGTGAGTGTGAGAGTCAGAGAGAGAGAGAGAGAGAGAGAGAGAGAGAGAGACACAGACAGACAGACAGAGTCAGATCTCCCTCTCAACAAAGAGGGTGATACTGACCTAGCTCTGATTTACTGACACAGCGCAGTTGTTTCTAATTGGCTGATTCTGTCTGAGAGTCGAGGTAGGAAGCTGGCAGACAGACACAGGCCCACAGGTCTCAGACTTCAGACGAGCAGGGTAGCTTTAACTCGCTAACTCAATTTAACAGTCAGCGGCTGATGGGATCCGCGCAGGGTTAGATTAGCCTGTCAAATACAGACTACACACAGGAGGGAACTACCACTGAACTACCACTAATTTGTCAAGTGCCACTTGGCACTTGACAAATTAATCTTTTGAGTTATTTTGAGCTCGCCAATTAACACCGTCTGTATCTGTAAGTGATTCGATCAACAGACATTGTATAGATAAATAGGTCTTTGCACGGGCCAATAGGAGTCACAGACTAAAACAGCATGGCCGGTGCAGGATTTCACACCAAGGTGCCAACACAAACGTGCCACTGATGATGCTGCCATTTCTGGAACACACCGTCACACACACCAAAACAACCCAATAAAAACACCCACAACCAGGCTAATAAAACAGAATGGGAACACAGAGCATGGTGGGAACTTTAATTTAAAGTGGCATAAGACTCTGCTATGCACACAGAGTAAATAATAGAATATCCATGTCATAGTTACAACATCTGGGAATAAGATGGTGTGAAATAATTTGTGCTCTTGGGCCCTTTGTGGTATCAACAACAACCTCCATTCATTTCATTTGTGGTACGTCTTGACACAAACCATTAGCGGCAATTATTTACCTCTAGGGCCATCCTAAAAATGAAAACAATGACGTATTCAGTCGCAATGGGAGGGGGGGGTGCAAAGATGTTATCATAACATAAAGAGACAAATTATTTACCAAATGTTGCGCATTTACAAAAATTTGCTGGTTTAATATGTTGACCACTTAGATTAGAAACTGGTAGATTGGTGCTAATGATACATTTGAAGAACTGCAAAGGAGGCTACTTGTGTTGCTAACCAGCTAGCTCACAGTTGTCAAAGTATTTGTTAGTATGAGATGCTAACTAGAGACGTTACTTACTGTGTAGGATAATACCTATCTACCAGTCCTTCTTCCTCTTCTTCGTGTGGCTTCAGTGGCGTCTTATGAAATGCTTATCTCTCGTTAATGTCAGCCACTTTCGTTTCTCGGCCCCTATTCCTCAGCTAGCTTTGATTAAGCTAGCCAGCATTTCACACGATCAGTTCTGCTTTCAGCATGTCTCTGCATCGGAACAAGGCTTTTATGTACATGTTTGGCACTGTAAACACGGGGAACCCCAAAAATAAATAACCGCTATACGTTGGCTGTCGGTTGAAATGGAGAAAAAAAAAACACTCGTGTCGGCAAAGATGTATCTATGATTTGAACGACTGGCTAATTTTGGCTAAAGCTAAATGTATGAGGCAGATGACGTTCTTTTTTAACATGTAGTTAAGGGGGAGAGGCAATCGTTTCGTTCTCTCCTGTGATTGGACAGAAGCTGATTCAAAGCTGGGATGCGATTGGTCGAAAAATGAGTCAGTCAGATGTAGGTAAACCAGAGCTGTATAAAGTCAGAGTCGCGTCAACGGAAGTTCAAAAGGCTTGATTGTTACATGATTGACTTTGGCCTCGGTCGAAAAGGCCCAATCTCAATGTCCTCCCCCCTAAGGTCTAAAACCCTGAACCCTCAGGTACTAAACTAACGTCACCTGTTGAATGGTTGAGTGTGAAAGTCTGCAAGGGCTTGAAATGGCGTAAATACAAATGGGACAACAGAAAAGACAAATAGGACAACACTTTGCTACGACATATGACGTTACCATGTTGTCATGTGTTTTTATGTACTTTAATCTTTAATCCTCGATCGATGTTCTGTGAAAATTCAATATGCCAGGCTAAACATGCACATTTAATTTATTTTGTATAGATAAAGCGGCGTCAACAGAAGTTCAAAATGATTGATTGTGTCACGTGATTTATAGACTTCAGCTAGTTCCAGGAAGTACTTGGCGGACAATTGGCATGCATATTGTTAAAAATCAGTACAAACAGAGACAGAATTGAGATCTTAGCTAATTAGTAGTCAATAAATTAATCAACAATAGAGCAACGAATTACGTATTAAGATACATCAATTTAGGTTTTTTTTTTAAGTAAAATTTGCTGATATTCGAGGATTAGTAAGAGTAACAACTAGAGTTGCCGGCCTTCTTGACATATTTTAGGATGTATATGTATATGCCCTTGTTTTTAGGCCAGATTTAGTGGCATCTAGTGGTGAGGTGTCAGATTGCAAGCAACAACACACTCCTACGTTCACCCCTCCCTTTCCGAGCGTGTTAGAGAACTACAGTGACCATCTGGTAGGACTCGGTATCTTTAGGATTGTATTACAACAAGGAGCTACTCGTATCAATACTCTGTTCTTTTTCATGACTAAACATTTGTCTTTAAAAGCACAAATACAATTTTAAAAACAAATAAATTCTGAACCGAATTGTGTTTATAACAGCAAAGTCACTATATAAAGTCATTACTATCACACTGGAAACCAATCTAAAAAGTCAATCTTCTTCTTGTTTCACTGAAGCGTGATGGTTATATGACAGTTTCCCATTTCTTTACACAGTCCTTTGCATTTTTATTGAACACTGCAAGGACCTTTGAGTTGCAAGGGTTGGGTATTAGAGGGCAGACAAGGCAGTGCTCCATAGTATGGTCTGCTTCTTCACGTTCACAGGTGGTTGGGCCAGTCTTGTAGTCCCATCTGACCAGAGCAGCTTTTGATCGTCCCGTTCTCGTTCTGAGGCGGTTTAGTGTTTTCCATTGAGCCCATGTTGCTTCTGGGCCAGGGGGAAGGTTTTCAGTAGGGGGGTATTCCCATGACAGTTAATAAATATATATCATTCCTGAGGGAAGTTTAGAAATGATAATAAACAATAATAAAAAAACACAGACATTAGATTGAATCAGTCATTTTGTCTGCTTGTTGTTTTATTTAAATGCTGATTCTGATATTGTTGGTACAGACTGTACACCTGTTTTTTTTTTTGTTTGTCATGTTTTCCTTGTGTTGAAAATAGGCTACAACTGCATTTCGTTGTGCACCCCTGTGTTGCATAATGACACCATGACACCAAGTCTTTCAGCTGTTCGTGTTCACAGGTTCAGAAATGTTACATAGAAAATTGTCCTGAAATATTTATGTTTAATGTACTTGATTTCATCCAGATGGAGTATTTTTTGGAAGATCAGCCAAAAACTGTAGAATGTATTTATTAAAACACAAGAAGTCAAAAGCAAACTGCACTGTACAAGAAGCAGAAACTATTTGCATTGCAAAGTTACCAAAACCTCACAGGAAAGATTATGAAGGTTAAAAAAGGGAATGTGTCTCTGAAGGAGCCTGTCTTAAGGCGCATAGACCACAGCCCGAGTACATTCTAAACACAGTACGCTGCTTTATATTTCTTGCTTCTCTCTGGGCTCTGTAGGCTTCAGAAGTAATTGCTCAGCATTGCCCACCTTCCGTCCCAGGACACAATACTGTGGCTGCAGCTTATCCACAGCATGAAATTCATGCCCCTTGGAAGAATTTTGTTCAAAGTGTCCTATAGTTTCAACAAAATAAGCCTGGCAGAATCATGCTCTTCACCTGTGTACCACTTGTTCCTGCATATTGACGCCTCTGTATACCCATGCATATTCATGCATTCATGATGATGGATTAATTTACTGTTGGGTTAACAACTCCTGCACCAGCCACTTGTTTATTCTGCCACATTATATAAATGAGGTGAAACACACACACGCTTTGTGTTGAAGGAGGCCACAAGCTGGAATGTTGAATTGTATTTTTATCAGCTGCTTAACATACGAAAGAGATGTTTCTTTACCATTATTTTTCTCTGCAGATCAGCACAAGTTAGCAGAGTAAACACTGAGTTAAGTGCCTCTGCTGCTTTTTCTCTGCTTGTATGAAATCACCCCACGTCTGATCCTCTCTGCAGAGTGCAGCAATCACGCCTTGCCTTGCCCTCCACTCTTCAAACACGAGAGCACTTGAAAAGCTGATTTCCTGCTCCTCAGAGGGAGCAGGTTTCTTTTGTCAACTGAGGAGCCGGGTCAAAACAATAATTGTTGGCAAACCATGCCTGAAAATATACAATGCTCATTTGATTTACATGTCATTTTCATAAGTCTTCTCTTCAAGCCTCCTTATGTTACATCAGGACTTTATTGAATGTTTGTGAGGGCAAATCAGTTAAATTTCCTGGATATAATGTATAGAGTGTTTATGCTGTGTGTGTGTGTGTGTGTGTGTGTTTGTGTGTGTGATAAAAAGAGAATGTACACCACAACCACTTACATATACATTGGCCCATTAATGCACGTTATGTGAGGGGGCAAGCTGTGCCCCCTGCTTAATGGGATTACAGTCATTAACCAACTGTTTACTTAATGGGAGAGGACCTCTCTCTCTCTTTTTTTTGTTTCCAACTCTCACTCTTTGTCTCTCTCTCTCTCTCTTTTCCTCACTCTTTACCACTTCTCTCCCTCCTTTTTCTCTCTCTGTCTCTGATCCCTAATCAGCGAGACGGCCTAGAAGTGCCTTAGGGCCGAATACAAATGAGCGCAGCTGCCCAATCCGGATTACTATCACACACACAGGCTTGTGCTCGATGTACAAATTCACACACACATGCACATGCACTAAAAAACAGTGCATGTAGACATAGTGGGCTATGTGAGGACATATTTCATTGATATGCATGGCCAACACTTGCTGACACATGTATTTTCCAAGCATATGTCACACTATGAATATATCTCACACATGCATGCACTCACGCATGCACACACATGAACAGAGTGTTCTGAGCACATGTAATGTCCAGTAGCAGACAGATGCTGCCACGGGAACATGTGTGCACATGGTCTGTATATTAGAGTCAGGGTGGCCATATATCGCCAGTCATCAGAAAGTGACATTGTGGGACCAGCTCGACTTTGAAAAAAGAGATGAGATGAATATTGTCATGGGGAAAGTAAATGAATGACGTGCTGGACTTTTGCAGCTATAATAATATCAGGGCTTGCATTATCAATGTCACTGCATTTACATTTTTATACCTATGATAATGAAATATTCCCTGATTATTTTATTCTTTTGGTAAACTCGATTGATGTCTCTCCTACTACCTCATATTTGAAGACTTAATGCTCGTAACACTTTATTTGGAGCCGAAGTTGATGATTTTAAGCTTCCATACAAGCTAGAACCACTGGGCAGCTCCACTACAGTAGTTACACAGTAATGCCTTGCCCAAAGGGCACCTTAACAGGAGGTGATGAAGGAACATCAAGCCACTGATTCACTTCTCCAGCCCAGATTTATCCTGCCAGTCTAACTGACAACTTCAGGCCGCAGTGGCTGAAAGGCCTGAGAGGATATAGAACCCCATGCAGTTTAAGTGTAATTACAGTGCTGTTGAAATGCCCTGCTATAGAAGGTTGGCCTGAGTTGGTAAATTAGAGCCTGGGCTAAGTGCGCCCACTGTGCAGGGTGAGAGATGAATGGCTGCTGTGGATCAGTAGTATCACACCCCCATCTACTGGGAGAGAGAGGTACTGCTGCCAAACGCAGGAGAAACAGGGAGGGAAGAAGATGAAAAGGGACAGAGAGGAAGATAGTAACGGTAACAAACACTGAAAGTCATGGTTCTTATACCAACTGTTTGCAAAATCAATGCCCTCAAAATGTCTGACAAAAAGGTTTATTCTTACATTTGTTTTACTGTAAATCCACTGGTAATAAGCATACGGTAAGACATTTTTGATTTTATCTTAGAACTTTTAATTTCTCTATGTTCAGTCAGAGGTTCAGGTACTTTCTTGATGTACATGTATTGAAGAGAATTTACTGTAGGCTTTGCCCACACACCAGTTTGTCCCTTAAAGTGTTTCTCCAGTTGGAATGGGACTAAACCTCCTCTAATTCACTAAGTGTGGTATTCACAATTCATGTTCTGTGCATCTGTAACTGCGTTCTATATGATTAGCTTTAATCATTTATTTTCTCCCTCTGCATTGAAGCGGCATTCAACCTGCTCCTTTTGCCGTTGCGGTCACATATAGAAAAATATCAAGCATACTCTGTGGGCGTCTGACTGCTTCTTGGTCAGCGCACAGCACAGAGTGACAAAAACAGCCTCGATGGCTATTGAAATGGCAGTAAACGGATAGATTTCTTGAGTGAGCTGTATGCCAAGGTGACCCTGAGAACTCTGGGTATACATGCAATCTTCATTTTCGTCCTGAGATCTCTCAGTGATCTCTCTTTGAGTGATATTGGGAGAAGAGTTCAGCTGGAAGAAATCGTTTAACAAAGCAAGGACATTCTTCCCCCTGAGCGGGCAGAGAGAAGGCCACCGCCTCGGTT